GCGGCATCATGTCTGTTTAAATTACTGTGTAGGTTTCTCCAAGTAAATACTATAAACCGGAGATGTGAAATGACCATAGAGAATAATGTCAGCGGAAGGATCTCATTTCTTCCTTCTGATAATTAATCCGCCAACCTTAATTCAGGGTATTCATTGATAGATTATCGTGTGACAAAATCCACAGGACATACCAAATTACTCTAATTACCTCATTCCCTGTATGTATTTAATTATTTAAAATTGCTTATGCAGTGTGAGATGTGTTTGCTACACTGTAGATATATTGCCAACTGCTGCATGTGGATTCTTACTGGATGGATGTGTTATTTACAATTCTGTAAACATCACTCTGCCAGACTCATCAACTGTCAAGAATTTTTTTTTTCTTTTTTCAAAAAGTATACGTAAGGTTTAGGTTCCTAGATCCCCTTTAATATTCCTCTTTTTTCATAATAATTCAGTTATCCATCTTCTAATAACTTATCCTGGTCAGGGAAACCCTGGATAGGGTGCCAGTCCATCGGAGGGCAGGGGGCTGGGGTCCACACTGGACGCAATGCCAGTCCATCACAGGGCACAGGCCTGGGGTACACCCTCAATGGGATGCCAGGCCATCACAGGGCACTCACACCATCAGACATTATGGGCAACATGGAGATTGCCTAGCTACATACCTTTGCCCTGTATGAAGAAGCCCTTATAATTCCAGTAAATATGCAAATTCCATACAGACTCACACAGTGGATCCAAGATTTTCTGGCCCAACTCAGGAAGTGCGAGATGAGAATGCTGCCCACTGAGCCACCTCTGTTTTGCTAATAGTGCCTTTTCCTGCATCAGAAGCTTAACTTTAAATCACCTGCTTTAAGTCTGACATTTTATTCACACAAATAAAGCATGTACAACAATCTACACCATCTGACATTTGCTGAAAAATATCCAGGTGTCATTTCCTTTTTTATCAAAATCCACTTACAATATGACTGAATACACCATTCAAAATGCATTTCGTTCAGTTAAATTTCTTGATTCCAATAAAAAGTAAATAAGTCAATTTGCCGTTTCAAGTAACAAGAAATAAGAGGCCTTTAAGCCCTCGGCCTGCGCTGCTCATGCACGGGGAGTCGAAGGGGCATGGACACCCTGACAAATTCGGGGGGGCAGCACTTCACAGAGGCCGTTGAATACATAAAATAATATAATGGGAGGGTCAAGGTGACATTTTGTCAAGGGGGGGGGCATAGCTACTCCCCTGTTCATGTGCGGATTCTTTCTTTGTGAAGGGCCGATACGGTTAATATAATTTAATCAGGAGCATCTCTGGAGATTAATGAGAAGACAGGGGCTAAACTTTAAGTAGGATCTAAAGCGACCCCCCCGCCACACTCCCCCAAATCAGCCCTAGCGATGCCTTTTAATTTAAAGTAAAATATATAATGACATACAAATATGCATAAGAAACATATTGCATGTTTTATTACAGGTAAACATGTAATCAATGCAAGTTACGCAATATAATACAAAGTAAAAGTACCATTTTATTAAACACAGACAGCACCCCCACCGCCGATGGTAAAGTGTCCACCTCCGGAAGAATCGATTGACTGCAAGGAATCATCATTTCCCTCAATACAGAAAAGATGCGGTCATCACATTACAGCATATCCCGCAGCAATGACGTGCAGCTGTAGCAAAGGGACAGACCCATCATCTGCTGTCATTCTCAGTCTGAGACGATAAGCCATAGACTCAGGGGAGGTACCGGCTCCAACCCTAGATCTTCAAACGTTTCCTTTTAAAGTATTGCCTTTGTTTGCGTTATCGCCTATTGACCTGTAAAATATACAACCTATAAGCCGATAACTACTTAGGGTATTTATTTATGGGACTTCCGCAAGGTGGTTTGGGAAACTCTGGAGGGCTGGCAGATCCTGGCAAATTTTTAGAAGAAAACCCGCATAAAACTAACATTTTGTCCCCGTCTCACCTGCCCCTTACTTGCTGTACTGCCTGTTGCCTACTTCTGTATGAGTTTGAATTCAATATCAATATCTTCCGAGCAAGGATACACAAGTGCCCATAAAATGCCAACAGAGTTTCTCCCACCAATCGACAACTGGTATGCGCCTGACGTCACAGCAGGAGGAAGTCACTGCGCTCACGCTGACTGAGGAGCAAAAAACTGAGGCAGTTTTACCGTTCAGCTTGAATGCTGCAAAAAAAAACACATCTAAAATGAGAAAGAGCCGACATGCGATTGATTGTACAAATAGATTTAACAAGAAATGTCTATGTTATCAGAAAGCTAAATGAGTAAGTATCAGACGTGGATTGGTCACATATGACTGATACCCGATCCGTCAAATATGTCTTTTTCGGCGCCCTGACCCTCAGTCAACTTATATATGAAACGAACGTGAGAGATAGGATTTCAGACACAGCGGCATAAATAATTGCTTTCGTTTCATTGTAATGCATTGGCCGGTGTTCTGTCATAAAATCCTACCTATCGAGACGTGCTGTCTAGCCTTTCTGCGCATGTGCAGTTCCACCGTTTTGGGATTAGGGTTAGGTTTTAGGGGTTAGGGTTAAGGTAAGGGTTTTAGGGGGTTTTGGGGGGTTAGGGTTATCGATTAGCACTACGTTAGCATTTTTCGACAAGGCAGGATAAATCGACAGAACACCGGCAGTGCCGCCTAGGGCGCCGTTTCCTGGGGGGCGCTGATTTAGCCAATCCATCTAGCTTTGTTTCTGTCACTGGCTGCTTTTAAAATAAAAGGTGAATATTATTGGCCTCTAATAACAAAGTATGTCAGCTAGAAACCATGACTGGCAGGAACGGTGCAAATTATGAAGCGAGAGTAAATAAGGCCGAACTACACATGCTGTACAGCTGGCGGGGCTTTTTTTTTTTAAATCAATTTTTCATTAACTAATTATTCAGTATTTTTATTATCAGCAGCCCTACCGATAGCTGACCCCCCAATCCATACATATTTGCGTTGTGAAGCTATGTATTTCTTATACTCTGTCTTCTCGTTAATACAGAAAATTTAGCATTCTTTGCCAAGTTCAAGGTAATATTAACTTTTAACTAAATTACCCGAGAATGATGTGTGTGTGTGTGTGCGTGTTTTCATGACGTAAAGTTTGTTACCTCTGCCAGTGTGCTAAAACCACGCACTGGATAATGGTCCTGACAAGGCTCCTAACAAGGCAGTTAATCGTGGCACAAGGAAATATTTTGGTTATTTACCCGGACACACACAGAAATCCTGAGACAAACAATTCTGACCAAAAAGCTAAACCTATGTTTTGGCTCTCTGATGAGATTTTGAGTTGTATCTTGTTTATCAATGCTTGCTTTGGAATGACCTTGTTTTCTGTTGTAAACTGAGAACCCAATATCCTTTATTGGGTCTTTAGATTGCTAATTTATGAGTTCTGCTTGACACCATTAAAACCATTAAAAATTCCCACCTATCAAGCTCAGTCATGCACATTTTATGCCTAGACTACTACAGGGTTAGGCATGGCTGTCTCACGTGTTTACCGCGATATTCAAAGGGCACTCACCATTAAATATTGTTCTCTCCATGTATAAATGGTTGGATACATTTAATTAGAAGACACTGATTATATTTTTTTATATCCATAGTATTCCTAATAGATACATGAGAATATTGACTAGATCCTGTCTCCAGATTTTTCTGCGGTGATATCCATTGCCAGTACAAGCAGGATCATAGACCTGTGTCACCTGAACTTTCAGGAGATAGTTGCAGATCATCATAAATATATTAAGGATTAGCACTGGAGATGTGATTCTCAAAGAGAGGATCGTCAGAGCTGGGTAATACATCAGTATATTGAGGAATGCACTAGTTTGGCTGCCATTAAAAGTATCATGATGCCTTATTTTGCAGTTGAGAGACACTAACACTGTGGGGTTCCAATCAGACCAGACTCGGTTTCGGATTCAGTTCTTTTACAAGGATTATTTTATAATGGGCTGTTAGTGGGATTTCGTGACAGTAGCTCTGCAGTGAGCAGGTAATGGTGAAGTTCTGCGCCCTGGGCTTGATTAGGTGGGTCACATGTATGACTGCGTGGGAGGGGGGCAGTAGGCTCATGATCCGTGTCTGCTGAATATATGCTGAAAATTAATGAACCAGACTTGAGTTCCACATCTCTCTCCCTTACTGACACCCGTGTCATTTTTCATGCCTTAAAGTGGTGAAGTTTATTGATTTGTCAAGTATATATTCACGATTTCTTAAAAGCATGTGTCGTAAGCAGTTACTGTAAATTCTGTTGAAGAGAGAATGACAGATTTATTTAAATATCAGTTTCCTGCTACGTCTGTATATATTTTTGTAGCAGAGTCTTGCCAATTTTCTTACCGGAGGGCACTGGGGATAGGTGTAACATCTAGCATAGGAAGTGAAAATTTATCAGGCGTGAGTGTATCTCCATGGGGACGTTATAACCGACCCGTGTGATGTTTTCACAAGCTAACGGATTTAGTGACCTAGTTATTCTTTTCAGGTTTAGGTGGTAAATGAGGTGCAGTTCGGCAAAATGGTGAAGAAAAGTGCCAGTGATCATGAAAGACATGAATGGTATTAGTAAGCGCAGGACTGAGACCGTGGGAGGCGATTGCAGTGCCTGGGAATTACATGATTGTTTTTGAGGTTGCTGGGGCGAAACCAAAACATAATGTCATTTATATATATTAGGGAGAACTAGTGACAGTTGGGATTAATCAAGATGCTGAAGGAAGCCTTGACTTTCCCTCTTGAGAAGATTATAGCTTGGTCATCCCGCCCACATCAGCAATGCAGAATACTTAACGTGTCCCAGAACATCTCATTCCTGGGCTCTGCAGGCCGCAGCAGCCAGAGAACGCCCTAACCCTTTGTCCCACGGTTACTTTGTTTGTGATTGGGACTCGTATTCTTTCCCTGCTTGCCATTAACGTTGGTTGCGGTGTTTTCCAGGTGAGCACCTGCGCATCTGTGCGCAGGGATACACCTGCTGCACGTCGGAGATGGAGGACAGTCTGAGTCAGCAGAGCAAGCTGGAGTTCGAGAACTTGGTAGATGAGACAAGTCACGACCTGAGGAGCACCTTTGTGTCCAGGCACAAAAAATTTGACGGTAAGGCATCGGTTTTGGTTACACATGGCTTCCCCTGTCAGCCCATAAACATTTCAGCATTAATATATCAGACCATCTTGCCAAAAGTCTGGACCCGAACACTATTTCAAAGGAAGTCCTACTTGTAATTTCAAAAAAGGATATCAAATTTATGGTTTAAAGCTGTTGTGCTCAATTGCTATAATTTGTAATTGTTATAAAACATTTTAACACAGATTCCTTAAATTAGCCCTGTTCCTCTTTGTCTCATTCATGCAGCCTCTGAGTTTTGAGGGTTTAAATCTTAGGTACTCCCTATTCCTGCTGCTGCCTGCCATGACCATGATGCTCTCGTGTGAGGCAGCACTTGATGAGCAGCAGTTATCATTAGACTTGCTTTGTGTCAGACTTACTGTAGAAAGAAAAGCCCACAGAATCCAAGATAGCCTCTCATTTTGGGTGGGGGTCGAAGGTCACGCCTCTCAATGTCCATTCCTGATTTAGATGAGGCCACTATGGCGATCAGTAAGAATGCACCGATTCTGATAAAATGTGCTGCATTCGTATCCATTTGCCCGCACACGCATGTATGCGAAGTTACAAATTAACTATGAGATGGTTTATTTGTGGAATTGTAATTATTTTTGCGTTTTGTTATCAAAAGAAATGGGTTGAATTTTGACTGAAGGTTTTTACATACCAAAGAGAACCAATTCTTCTCCACGTAAAACAAAAGTAAGGGATCTGTTTTCTTAATGATGCAGTATAATTTACTATATTTAATAAAGCTGTTGCGGCAGGTTGTGGGGTTTATGTCTGCCAGATGGGCAGGGTAACAACTCAGGTGTTAAAGAAAAAAAACAACTTTATTAACAAAAACCTGTGAACATTAAACAGGAAAGACAAAAGATCCAGAAAACTGACAGTTCTGAACAGAAAACAACACAGAAAGCTCAAGTTTCCAAGTATTCCGCCAAGTATTCGCCCTCAGTATTCTGCCAAGTATTCGCCCTCAGTATTCTGCCAAGTATTCGCCCTCAGTATTCTGCCAAGTATTCCCCTTCAGTATTCCGCCAAGTATTCGCCCTCAGTATTCTGCCAAGTATTCGCCCTCAGTATTCTGCCAAGTATTCCCCTTCAGTATTCTGCCAAGTATTCCCCCTCAGTATTCCTCGCAGTACTCCCCCAAGTATTCCCCCTAGTATTCCCCCCAAGTATTCCTCCAAGTATTCTCCCCAGTATTCCCCCCAAGTATTCCCCCCAGTATTCTCCCAAGTATTCCCCCAAAAAAATCACTGAGGCACTGAGCTTCATGCTGCAGGCTTCTCCCTCTCCCCACCATGTTAGCTCTGCTTTTACCTGGTGGGCGTCATAAATCCCGGTGTCTGTGGGCACAGGGCCGGCGATCACTCTGCCCCCTGCTGGCCTGCACCTTTCCAAAATAAGCCTTGAAGAGTATAGAGCAATTTGGCTCACAGCCAGGCAGGGTACTGTGAGTAATTACTCACGACAGTGTGCTGTTCATATATGTGCTATTTGTTCTTTGAAGTCAGATGGGCACATGATCTCTAATCTGTGGATACAATTCAGAAACCGTGCTCTGTCATGGCACCCAGTGAAAGCAGCTCTCCCCATTCACACACTGACAAAAATGTATTAATAATCAAGTCATGTCTTTGTTTCAGTACAGAATTGAACTATGAGATGTATCCTATTCACACGAGGCCTTCGGTTGAATTAATATATGTGGCCCATCCACTGTGCAGTGACAAAAAGGGCATCAGTGTTCTCAGGGATCTCATTCCATAATGTGGTTGTCAAAATGTCTTGATCTGTGATCACTTCTCTCCTTATATGTTTAATGTAATATTATGGTAAGGTTAATTGCCCATTTTGGCCCCAGTGTACTTGCAAAATCTCTGTTTTTTATTAAATCTCTTTTATTTAAACATCACTTGGGGGTGCGCTGATATCTGAATTGACATTATCGATTATTCCTGCAAAACATCTATCAATAAAATGTAAATATATGTTCATGAGTGAGAATATATTTATACAGCTTATCTTGCATTTCCGTTTACCAGCAATACATACAGTAGTGTAGGTAATGTCATTTGTTAAGAATAGTACTGTACAGACTATAATCTCCAAAATTTGGTTCACATGTTTTTGTATAACGTCAGTTTCTGTGTTGCAGGGCAGAGATTCCAGGCAGAAAGCTTTACAAACTAACGCAGGTGTAGTACGTGAAAGTCCTTTATATTGTGTGTTTTCAACTCATTACACAAATGCAAGAACTACTCAAGTCACCATTAAAGTGCTTTTTCAACTTGAAACAGGAGCAGGAAATATCGACCAAAGGAACAGCGCAGTGGCAGTGGTCATTAATTTATAACAAATCACATAAAAACAATAAGATAGGAAGCTATGTTTTAGTATGCTCTCGTTGCTTAAAGGCATGTTCACTTTGCTAAGGTGTAGACGTGTGTGCAGTGAATATGCAATGTGCCCCTTCTTTATGGGGAAGTCGGCTTCTCGCAGAACGGCGAGGAAAAAAGGGGGTTGTCGTGTGTTTATTTTTTAATACGATAGCACAATTTAGATCTGGTGAAAATAGAATTAGTCGTAACTAGCAATAAAAACTCTTTCCACACACATTTTTCAATTATATCAATATATCTGGGGGAAAAAATCTAAGGAAAAAACATTATTTGAAAATATTGATTATCTTCCCAGCCTTATTAAAGATCTTCTTTGTGGATGAAACAATATGTGAAGATTTTGGTCTAGATGGCCTGGATGTGGGCCTGCTTCTGAAAAGGATTGATTGGCCTGCAGGATCTCTCAGCTTATCAGAATTTCTCAGGACTTCCTTAGGGTAAAATTTGATCGTCACAATTTTATTAACACTTGTCACAGTGCTGCAAGTTTAAGACTATAAAACATATATTCCTAAAGAACTAGAGTAAACTTTTTTTCTTGTTTCTGTTCCTGAGCTGGCAGTTTATAATTGTTTTTTCTTTAATTTAAGACAGATGGTTGAAGCTATTTAATTAAATATCGCGTATATAGCATCACATGTTTATTTTATTTGACCACTTGAATCAAGTTTTTATTAACATTAATTTTGTATGTTATTTCTCCTGAATGAATACTTACGTTATGTTAGTGTCTTGACATGTACAGTAATGGATCCATTGTAAACCTTTCTCTAAGTAGCACATGCCGCGCAGCAATTAGTGTGGAAGTCGGCACAGGATTTAAGCCCAGATTTTGGCAGCTCAGATTGCTACATTACAGAATGCCATTTTACGTATGGTTCTGCAGAGAAAATGCGCCGCCTTTGTAAGTGAGTGAGTTGTAAAACTAAGCCAAACTGACATTCTGCTAATCAGCTTAGACATTATTGTTTACAAAGAAGTGTAAGTGATATGACAACGCGGAGTGCATGTTGTGTAGATGCTCATTTCTTGGGTGTCGTAAATATTCCCTGTGCTGTGTGTTAGTAAAATGCTCGCTAAGTCCGCAGGACACCCGAAAAGCATTCGAATATTGTCTCCTTCAGACTCTGTTGGTTTACCGTGACCCCCCCCCCCTACCCCGCACCAGCACCTAATTTCCCCATAGGCTGTTTGGTGTGTTTTTAAACCAAAGATCTTGTGTCCCCATTTTCCCCCAATGAAAAGTAACCTTGGGTAGATTGGGTTCTTTCACACACCATCACCCAGCTGTGATGTCTCACCTGTGGCAGTTTCCTGGAACTCGTCAGAAGTCCAGCTTTGACCTGATTTAAATCGCACTGAAATAGCTTCGCATCGCCTGCATTAGATAAATATGAGAAATCACTGAGTGTTTGAAGTATCAGAACAAAGGCACCTCAATAACTGTTAACCCTGGGTTGGCTACATCAGGCCGCATTATGAGATCAAATCAAACCAATCAAATTAAAGTTTTATTTGTCACATACACAGTCATACAGTATGTATAAGCTAGTGAAATGCTGGTATGATTTGCTCCAAGACTTTAGCAGCATAGGGACATAAAGACATAATAAACAATACAGACAAGATTATAGATAACTACAGACAACTAGCAGTATGTGTAGATGAGGCAGTAAAGTGGTGTTAGTAGTGAAGAGTAATGAATAAATAAATAAGATCAATATTTGCGTTCCAGCTGTGCAAGGAAGGGACAAGGGGTTGTGCATAAGTAGTGCTGTAATGATGGCTCATGAGAATTTAACGTAAACAAAAATGTTCTGTGGGCAAAACAAAAAATGATTGGTTCGGAGAGATAACCAATCAGATTATTTAGGAGATGGGTCTAAGCAGCTAGAGGAGGCAGGGCCAAGACATCTGATTGGTCGGTCCTGCCTTCCATAGTTGCTTGGATCCACCTCCTCTACAACCTGAATGGTTATGTCCCTGAACCAATCATTTTTCGTTCTGCCCTCAGAACATTTTTGTATAAGTAAAACTCCCACGAGTGTAATGTTAGAGGGAAATGAACAGTCCTAAAAGTTGTCTTCATTTAGGATCCATATCGCCTGGGAGAGGAAGCTCTTCCTAACCCTTCCACTTGCTGTTGTTATCCAAAGCTAACTGGACCAATCCTTCCTCCTGGATTAAGGACGGTTACACCAAGCTGTTTGTTTACACCTGTATGCATGTTTCCTTACCAGCAAGCACTATTAAATGCACAGCAGCATAAAGAAGAGTCACACAACTCTTTCTAAACTTCTTTTCACACTGTCCAAGTCTGCTGCTGTAAACCAGTTCCAGTTGACTGTGAAAGTTTTTATGGTTCTGCGCCCTACTTGAGCATTATGATCCCAGTTTATGCAGTATGGCAGTGAACCCGAAACTGTGGAGGGCCCTTAGTCTGTCACTGGAAGCCTGTTCTGCTGTAATGGACTGTGGATCCACTACTGCCTACACAACTCTATGCTCCTCAGAGGCAAGAACTTCTCAGCATAGTGGATGACCACCCCCCCATGAAAGCCCACCGATATGGGTCTACAG